TGTTCCCTGTCAGGGCGGTCATTGGTGGTAGCTGGGCACCATCTAGTTCTTCTGGTCTTAGGCTGATGAAGTCTCTGGTTTATGTGGCCCTTTCTATCTCCTGGGCTAATACTTTCCTTGTGCCTTTGGTGTTCTTCATTCTCCCTTACTCCAGGTGGTTGGGACCAATTGATGCATCTTAGATGGCTGCTTGCAAGCCTGCAAGCTTTTAAGACCCCAGACGCCACTCACCAAAGTAGGATGCAGAACATTTTCTTAATAAGCTTTGTTATGTCAATCGACCTAGATGTCCGCTGAAAGCATGGTCCCCAGACCCCCTACCCCTGCTACTCTGTCCCTCAAACTGTCAGAGGTGTTTTAAAAGTTGTCTGGATGTCTTTATCTCACCATGTGTCTATACCCTGTCCATACTGCTCATGTTTGTTACCCAGCTGGTTCCTGAAAATATGAGTCTGTGATCCCTGATATATTCCCAGCCATACTGGTCATTTTGCCTCCCTCCCTGCTTCATCTCCACAATATGTTCTTCCCATCTCCAAGACTGCTCATGCCATTGTCTCTGCTTGGAATACTCTTTCCCTTCCACATTCATGAAATCTAATGCATTTTTGATGTTCAAATGTCACCTCTCCCTCTGCTTAACTCAGCTCAAGGTGACAGCTCCCTCCTCTTAATTCTCACTTAGCATTTAGTACAGAGTGCCTTGTATTACAATTATCTGGGAATATATTTTATGTCCCTTAACAAATTGTAAACTCTTGGGCTTCATGTCTGATTAATTTCTGTATCCTCAACATGAGAAACATATAGTTACCGATTAGCAAACATCTGTTGAATGAATGGCCATAAAAATTGAGCTCCAAAAGGCTGGAGGGGCAACAGTTAGGAAGTGCTCAGAGTGGGGCCGATAGGTACGACAGCAGTAGCAAACTCTTAGTGAACGCCATCTAAAGGTCAAGCATTCCTCACAGGGCAGTCCATGTGGAGCCAGGGCTTCAAAGAAAGAAGAATGGAGGATGAGTCCCGAGTCGCCTCTCTAGAACTCCAGATTAATTAGAGCTGATTTTTCACTATAGGAACTCACTGAGCATCTAAAAATTTTGCCTACTCTATGCTAGATACTGAAAATATAAAAATAAATAAGACATGCTCTCTGTTTCGGAGAAACTCAGTATACATTTGTAATTTGATGTGAAAAACTCCACTATCTCTCATCACCAACATACGGATGTCTCACTTAGCCATCCCCAAAACCACACTCTTGGCTTGGTGACCCTGAAGCTGTCAATCTTGGATATTCATTCAGTCCATATTTTGGAGGGTACCTGGTAATTACCAGGCACTATACTAGGGGCTGGACACACCGTGGTGAATAATACATATACAATCTCTTTTTCTCATGGAGATCACTGTCCATCAAACTGCTTGCAGTTTTGAAAGGATTAAGTTCTTTAAGGCCTCCTTGCCCTTATATAAACACTGCTGTTCCTGCTTTTTTCTAATTGCTTGTTTACCTGGTGTGTCTTTCCACTAAATAGTGAACTCTTTGAGACTACGGATTTTTGTCATGTTCATCATCTTCCACACCTCATAGAGGTGCAGAAGCACAGCAGGCATTAGTAAATATCCATTGAGAGGTCCCCAGGTGGCACAAATAGTTAAGCACTCAACTACTAGCCAAAAGGCTGGTGGTTTGAACCCACCCAGAGGTACCTAAGAAGTCAATCCTGGCGATCTGCTTCCAGAAGTTCACAGCCTTGAAAACCCTACGTAACACTTCTACTCTGACACACATGGGTCACCACAAGTGGGAATGGACTTGACAGCAACTAAGAACAACAGTGAAGGGGAACTCAGAAGTTCAGAAAACATTCATTATAGAGAGTAGTCTATTAAATAAATACAGTTCCAATCACGATTTCAACAGAAGTTTCTAGCAAACATGACAAACTCATAAAATACAGGACCACAAACTGCTAAGACAATTCTAACAAGATCAAAAAGGCAGACGTTAACTCCTTTAAGAAAATTACAGTTAATTAAAACATACTGTCTAGAAACAGGCAAATAGATTCCATAAATAGACCCACATAAATAAGAATTTAAAACCTGACAGTCTGATTATATACATGATAGAGCAGCATCATGATTCTATTAGAAAAAAGATGAACAAGGGGTGTTCAGAAAATTGATCCCTACTTCACAACATATTAAAAAATTATACCCAAATAGATTAAAGACAGAAACATGAAAAATAAAACTTTGAGACAGCATAGATAAGGTTAAAATACAAATAACTGACTGAAAGATGATATTTGCAACAGATAAAAAGTTGGATAGTATTAGAATATATTTTTTAAAAGGCTACAAATCAATAAGAAAAGAACACACTTCTTTGGAGAGTAATTTGGCAATGTCTAAAAAATAGAAAACATACATACTCTTTGACCCAGCCAATTCTACTTCTAGGTATATACTCTAGAGCAGCACTGTCCAATACAACCATAATGTGAGCCACACATATGTAATTGCTAATTTCCTAGGAGCTACATTAAAAAAACTAAAAGAAAATAGATAAAATTAATTTTAATAATACATTTTATTTAATCCACTTCAACAGATGTATATAAAAATTATTGAGATATTTTACATTCCTGTGACTATACTAAATCTTTTGAAATCTGGTGTGTATTTTACACTTTCAGCACATCTCAGTTCTAACTAGCCACATTTCAAAAGTGCAATAGCCCCACGTGGCTAGCAGTTTATGTATTTTAACGCACAGCTCTAGAGACGAAAATGTGCACAAAAAGACAAGTACAATGCTTCTAATAGCAAAAAAACCATAGAACTATAATGTCTATCAATTGAAGAATGTATAAATGAAATGTTATATATCATACAATGGAAGGCTATATAATATTTAAAAGGAATGAATTAGATGTAAATGTATGTAACCATGGAAGGGTCTCAAAAATAATGAGTGAAAGAAAGAATGACAGACAGACAATAGCACTTACGTTCATTAAAACCCCAAATGAAGCAATACTGTATATTGTTTATGGATACACATACGTTTTTTTAAAAAATGGACTGTAAGGATACACAGCTAATTCATGATAATAGTTGCTTCTGGGGAGGATAATCAGATAATGGGCCTGGGAGTAGAAGACACAGATAAGTTCAACTTTTATCTTCTAAAACAACGAGGAAGCAAATAGATCTTGATGT